CCCCACATACACACACACAAAAAAACTCGCGACACACCCATTATATATATATATATATATATATATATATATATATATATATGGGGGGGTGTATACATGTATAAAAACATCTTTTCTCCCTCTGTCTCATACTAAATCCTATGCAAATAAAATAAAATGTGAATAGTCTTGAATAGCAGCAGCACCTCTCATCCACATATCCTAGTTAAACATGTGTGAGGCTGAATAGCTGCCTGTCAGGATGCCGGAGCGGAGATGAAAGGCCCACAGCAAAGATCACTGCTGATTGCCTGCAGAGGATGAATATGCAAATAAAGCAGAAGGTAAATGAAAAACAAAGCAGGGGTTTTTGGCAGCAGCCTTTTGCATGTTCTTCTTAATTTGGCATTAGTTAAGAACAAGGAAAGTCTATCAATAATGAATTCTAGTCAGAAGCAAGGCAGGAGACAGGAACGGAAATCAGTCTCCATTTTCCCTCCAGTGAGCAAATGTGCAGTTCTGACATCTTTTATTTTCACAGCGTTTCAGTAACAAGCACGCTAAGCTTAAGTGACATGAAATTGAAACCGGTGGCAGATAAAATAATACCCAGGACACTTGGCTACAAGGCTTCAAAATGGCTCTGTGTTATTTTTTGGGGACAGGGGAATCCATGAAGTCAGACACCACCGTTGGCTAACTGCGATCGACAATTGACCACAGCAAGTGCAGAGAAGTAAATTGATAATCCAGTCAAATGTCTGTCACGACGACAAAATAATCACATAGCAGCCTGTTTGAGAACCCAACCAAGTGTGCACTTAACAGTTGTTTGGTTGCTACCAGATCCAAACGCCACTTTAGCAGCACTTAACAAAATCAAGTGGCTTAAAATATTTAGCTGTGTCGTCCCTCTTCTAGCGAACACACAACAAGCAAGCTGTCTGTTGTCACAGTGAAATTGCGCAGACAGACTGGAGAGCGTTTGGAAAAGAGGAGCACCTATCCGATTTAACAAAGGCTGAACAAGGCAACAGATTTTCCCTGCTCTTGAGATAAGAGAAACCCAACACCGCTGTCCTCCACTTGGGCTCTTTGTATGTGTGGGAGAGGGTCAATCAGCAGCCGCTGACAGATGTGTCTGCAGTTGATTTGAAAAAGGAAGCCACAGTGGGGTCAGGCGCAGGTTTCTTTGCACTGTTTCTCTGGAGGGAAGACAAGGATCAAGTCAGGATGTCCGAGACTGACCTTTTCTCACCTTAAGTCATCGGCGTACAAACACCTGGCCTTACATGATGGGGATTTGCCTTCCATTAACCCGCTAACAAATCATAAAAGCCCCTTGAAAGTTTAATGGCGCAAAAAAAACAACTTTATTTTCTCCCAATTTGCCCCCAAACGAACTGCATTACGGCAGACAATTTGCAGCTGTCAGAAGATCCCCTTGGATTTTGAGTTAAAGTGTGTTGTACTCCAGCTGGAAAGCTAACAAATCTGCAAAAAAAGCCTGGGAGCTTTAAGTAGTTCTGGCAGGTGCTGCAGCTTTAAGTACCTGTTTAATTAGGTTCTCCAGGTAAGATGACAATCACAGTTTAACAATGCAGTGGAGAGCTGACCACATCCTGGGAGGCAAAATAACTGGGGGTGAGATGTCAGTTGTGTTCAAATACTTTGACAGTCACTCCACTGTAGTACCCACTACTTTAATGAGGCCAATGCAACTGCTATGACTAAATGTCCCCATCAACTCACATTCATACAATACAGTAGGAAACAAAACAAAAAAAAATACAAAGCATAAATATTTTTTGAACTAATTGTGTGACTGTGTGCATGACAGGAAGTCGAAAGGATGCAATGATTAGCCAGGCATAAAATGTAGCTTGCATCACTCTCATATATATAGTAGATAGAAAAGGTGTAACTTTTTTATTGTTAAAACGGATTACTGTCATTAAAAAAGCAGAAGTGAATAATGTGTAAGAAAGGAGTTCCTGTATTAATCATACAATAGTGTGAGTCATATTTTCTCAGTGACCCATCGAAAAGAGACGGACATGGAAGAACGCACACACTCAGCTCCTCCCCTGCAGCTCAGTGCACTGGGTTCTGGTTCTTTTTCTTTCTTTTTTTTTTTGTCTTGTCAGGTAACCAGACAGGGAGACACAGCAGATGACGCAGAGCAGGAGCGGGTTGGCTGGTCAGTTCTGCCTCACGACTGTGGGTACATCAACATGACTCAACGCTACTTTTGTCCTACAGATAAGAAACCCTACAGCTTCATTTAAAAATAAATAGAAAGCGTGAGGCCTATAAAAGGCACTGAGAGCTCCATTCACATTTGTTTACATAGTTGTCTTTTCCATGTCAACACACAGACACGTTACTGTATATGCAGAGGACACTGCGTTGTTATCTTCCAACATTTCAGCTTTTGACAGTCGGTAATTTTGCACTCACAAAAGTACAACAACTCATGTTTTTAATGTTTAATTTCTCTACCCAGGAAGAATAAAGGCACTGTGTATGTGACCTGTTTGCTCACAGCTTAATTTGTAACTACCGGCGCTATCAGGAAAACGGCGGTAAAGTGATCCCCTAATCAGTCTTCAGGAAATGTTTCCCAAAGAAAGCCTTTTTGACTAATCGTATCATTCGCAAGCGCTGCATGTCTGAATAATTTAAAAGTCAATCAAAAGTAGTTTTAAATGAATTAAAAGTGAAATAAAAGGGGAGCTCTTTAGCTGGAACACTAGCCTTGTTTTCAGGTTACTTTTGCTAGTAGTCAGAAACTTCATGTGTGGAAATTACTTAGAAAGGGGAATTTGATTAGTAGGTAGAGGCAACTAAAATAATGCAAAGTAAAGGGGAAAAAAGAAGACATAATTATTGTAATATAACCTAAACAAACGTTTGTGATGTTATTGTTGTGGGTGTAGATGTCAGTTAACCTTAACTAAATATTTGGTGTGATTAGGGGGAAAAAGATGAGTAACAGGAATAACTGACAAATATGCTAATGCCGATGTGTCAACACACGCTGTTCAAACAACTGAAACAAGAGGGCGACATCACAGCTTAGGATGTATGATTTGGGGTATTTTGTGGATATAAACTGAACAGAATTGAATTCTGTCAATTCTGCCAGTGGAGCAGTTTTTCTCCAATCAGTGACGAATCACTCATTCAACTGTGTTCGTACACTGACAGGAGTCAAAGCCTTTTCTCCTTTCCTCCACTCCCCCTAGTGTATTCATTCGACACTGCATCCTTCCTGTGCATCAACCATAGAGAGAGAGAGACTTTCTGGGAGAATGAGAGAGAGAGAGAGGGGGAGAGAGAGAGAGAGAGAGACCCCTCCTCCATATGACATCAGTGCTCTATTGAAGCACAGCTAGAGGCAAACACAAGTCCACATTTGTATTGAGGTCTGCCCGTGCGCGCACGTCCCTGCACAGCCTACAGATTGTGAATGTGTGTGCGTGTGTGTGAGAGAGAAAGAGAGGTGGCAGCAGCAGCAGCAAACTGAGCAGTGCTGCAAAAGATAAACTCACAACTAGTTTCAGTCCAGTGTCAGTGGAGCTTCTTTTGGATGTGAATCTTTAAAACTCACAACCTGGAGTGGATTATTATCGGTATTTTTCTCTCTGCTGTGAACCCCGCGTTATAAGGATACCTGTTACTTTGCTTTTTGGTTGGTTTGGAGGTAAGTGTTTTAGGTTTTGATGTTTTTTTCACCCCCCTCCTCTGGCACAGTCCTGATGGGACTGCGTCCTCTCTTTTTGGATTCTGTCTTTTTGCAGATGGGATGTGAAGTCATACCGAATACTCCATACGAGTTTAAATACAATGACTTGCAGTTGTCGTTTTATAAATTCCCTTTATTGATTTGTACCAGGCCTAGATACAAAAAAACAAACAAACATAAAAACAGGGTTGATAGCAGTGGTTTTGGCTGCACTGGTCCAGTACACGGTAGTAATGACATTTCAAACTATGGGAGTGCGTTTATTTAACCCACAATGACATTAACATCATCTTCGGCTCATTCCTGCAGATTAAAGCAGACTTATAGAGGCTGGTTGTGTTTTTCCCATCACCACTGGCTTCTCTCACGTCTTCAACTTCGCTGCTTCAATCCTGCGACGCGTCACCCTCCAAAGCGAGCCCGCTTCGTTTTTACCCCAACATGCAAAACGCAAAAAATAAAAATAATAATAATAACAATCATAAAATAATCTTGCATGCAAATCTTACTTACACATATTATTGATTTTTCTTTAATTATTGACAAAAGACTCGAGCCTGCAGGAATATCACATAGGATCAGAGTTTCTTCATTTATCCAGAATTCGGTGCCTGAAAAAACCACGGGAAAATTAAGCGATTGCGCCGAACTGGTTAGGTTCAGAGGATTGTTGGGTTTAGACACGACTCCTCAGCCGGGAAGACACCCCGGTGTGCGGCTGAAATTTCAGCGCACATCCCGCGGAGTTGGAATAGGAAGGGGGCAGCTGCAGAAATAAACCCAGCTCAACGCGTCCACAGCGGCGGAGCCAAGCAGACACACAGACAGACAGCTCCTATTCATGTGCTACCACAGTAAAACCCACTGTGTCCAACTGCAACCAGTCAGCCACCTTCAAACGCGCAGCTCCAGCAGCCGGGGGCTCCGTGATGGTGATGGTTCAGAGAGGAGGGGGGCGGCGAAACTCAGCCAAGTTTTTCATTTTTACGCACTGCGTTCGGGCGCACGCGAACGGCGGCTCGTTCCAGCAGAGCGAACGCTTCTTTATAGCAACGCCTCAAACCACACATCTGACACTTCCACGGAGAAATGCTTCTGTGATGTCTAATAATAAACAGTCAGGGGTTTACAGTGAGCTCCCCTTATGCTTATATGGCCGTCAGGCACCATTCCCACCGCAGGGAGGATGGAAGTCTAATCATTCTGTTCTTTCCCTTTCTGTCCATTTGAACTTGATATTTTACCCTTTAGATGCCTATATTTTCCACACGTTTCCATATATATATATATATATATTTGGTTCATCTGCAAGACCAAAATAAATAAATCATCAGTACAACATGGCTGATTTGCAGACAGACCCAATTGTCTTCACTGGTGATTGCCTGAGGCCACAGTCCCCTGTCAATTGCTTTCACTGGGAATTTGCACCTCAGATTAACAGCTAACCAGGTCATCACGTATATTTATACACATAATTACAGAGGATTCCAGTAGCCAAATTCTTTAACATAACACTGACATGTCTGACACTTCAGGGGAAATACGATCTTATAAACAACACTATGATGTGGAAACTGAAATCACATGATGAACTTTTATTTGTAATTTGTCTGGCCACAAGGTTTCTGATAAACTAGGTATACACGACCGTGAAGCATTGGAGACTGTAGGTAAAAACCTTTGCAAATAATATGACTCAGGATAAACTAGTGCCTACCACCCCCAAGTGGGGGGAAAACCACTGCAGCTGCAACAGATCTGTGCTTTCAGGCTGCACAAAAGAGAGACCCCCAGTCTGTCCTGGGCCTCCGTGTTCTTAATGGGTCAGCAAAAGTATCATCTGCTCGTCTTAACTACAGGCAGCACCAGGAGGCATCAAACTGTGGAACAAGCAACGAAGCCTTTTTGTCATGCAGCGGGTCATGTGTTCCATGTGAAGTCACACGAAACAATCTGTGTCAGAAGACGATACAAACGCTCTTGTCCCCCCCGCCCCCACACACACACACAAAATCATATATAATGTAAACAATAATCTATTATTTCCAAAATACTTTTTTCCATCAAGATCAAATTTCAGTTTTATTTTAATCGTTTATATTTGTAATAATTTGACCGCAGAGAGGGGGGGAATCGTAAATCAGTAGTTAGTTATCAATTTCAAGGCCTAATCAACAGCAGATACAAACAGCATTGATTTCTCAGTGGAGAGTTTTACTGTGGTTCAAAATTAATTTCAGGGCGCATGAATAATTTAGCAGGCAGCCATTATTCTTTCTACATCTCTTTCCCCACTAAATGCAGGCCGTGTGATATTATTATTTCATACCTCGCAGAACTACAAGCTGTCGTAATGCACGTTTGACAGTGTTTTTTTTTTTATATTTTCCACTCAAAGCTTTTCATTTCTTTTCCTTCTCCCAGTTATGACCGGGAGGCACAAACTATTTGACTCTGTTATTGCAGACTAATGTGCATTTATGCATGGTGAGCCTACAATGGAGATCAGTGTCCAGCTTAGTGTGATTAGCAGCTTGCCCTAGCTACTTGAGCGAACACACACACACACACACACACATACACACACACACAGGAAACATCAGAAAAATGTGTAAAAACTTACTGTGGAGAGGATTTTTCAATTTGCATGTATTAAATCATATCTGCACAGCTCTGTTGGGTCGTCATGATCAACATACAGGCCCAGTGTTACACAATAGGTCTACAGGTCAGTCTACAGAAATCCAAAAAGAGTAGACTAATCATAGAAAGACTCAGCTAACTCTGTAGCTCGTAGAGTGATAGAGTGAACATTATGTGCCTTTTTTTTTCTTTTTTGGTAAAAACAGACTTTTCTGATAAATACCTCACAGTACAATACAATCCACCAAGGCCTGAAACACAATAGGATCAGGTATATATTTTTTCATTTAAATTTGCATTTATAAATGAATCCCCATGTCTCTTGCCCTTTCTGCTTGAGACTGAGGACGAGTGTGTTTGTCGAAACAAAAAGGAGACAATCGACGCTGAAAGAAAAAAAAAAAGAATTCAATGTGGCTGTTCACGCTGAGGTTAATGCTCTTTCACATCCCTAAAAGATGTGCAGACAAACGCAGATTGATTTTGTGGTGGTTCTCCTGTCAGAGTCCGAAATACAAACACAACTTCCCCTTTTTGTAGATATTTTTTAAGGAATTTAAACATTGATCAAGGCTGCATACCTAACAATATTCAGAGGAAGGAAAAGTATCTAAAAAATGAAGTGAATATTTAAAATTGAAGTTGCCCAGACTAAGTGCCGCATTAAAAGTTCATTCCAACAGATAGCACATTGCTCTTCCATCACTGGCATATTATGAAACTCCATTACTGGATTTCATCTTATTTTTCTTGTTAGACTCCTTTTATTCCAGAAGTTGTTAGAGGTCACATCTGGTGCTTTTTCCCCAGACTCTAATCTACTCCTAATGTAATACTGGCCTGAGAGCTCATGTTTAGATGGAACAGAAGGCAGGGGGGAAGTTATTATTAGACAGCATCTTAGGAGTTGTAATCGAGTTAGAAACCTCTCAATTCCCCCATCTTCTCCTTGTCGTGGACTACAACTGTTAAATGGCTGGGCCTTTTGTAGCTAATTTACCTTTCCATGTTTTACAGCAGCCAGCAGCTGTTCGCAGCTCTCCCGCACGGTTACATATAAAGACGGGAGGCTATTGTGCTGTTAGAGGAAACACAACATTTACCCGGGCGTAGGAGATTCTATTTTTACAAACACAACCAGGATTCATTAATTGTAAACAAAGGATGAACATTAAGGGCAAACCAGAAGAGGTTTTGAGTGACGGGGCCGTACACAAAAGCAATAAGAAACAGACATAAACTTCACCTGACATGGCTGGCTTTCAGCAGTGTGACTGATTCCGTAACTGTGGACCAGAACCTTTCCCTTCTCTCACATGGAACCTGGGCTGACATTTTTAGACTAATAGGAGGCTGCTTTTTTTATTCGCAGGATGTGTTTTGTTGTAAAACACCAAAAGGTTAAGCTGGGAGTGAACTTTGACCCACAAAAGTGTTGGGGCTCCACCCTTGGCTATTGTGTAGATCACCAGGCTTTATTCCACATATAGACATTTTCTTTCCTGTTATGCTAAAAATGTGTGAGTTGCTGGAGAAAAAAAATATATTTAAATGTTTATTTCACAGAGAATATGTTCGTGATTAGCTGCTTAATTTATACAGATAACAGAAAAAATTATTCTACTGCAGTATCTGGGTGTAATTAGTAAAAATGACATCTCGAATAAATCTCGCAATGAAAGTTTGTTGAGCAAAAGCTAGATAAATAACATTTGAGCTACTTTATGAGGTAACTAAATATTTCTGCCTTTTGTTTATTTTTCAGAACACAGTTCCAGGTGTTTGGAGGGTGCAGCATGAGCTGGGCTGCAGATGCATAAAGGAGGTTGGGTCCAGAAGGATAACAACCTTGCCCATGTTTGCCCCATAGAGAAAAAGAATTGGTCACCTGCCGCAGGAAAAAAGACCAAAGGCTGGGATTAATGTGTGTACAGGCTCAACAAGGGAGCAGAGGATTCTGGGTTGCTCGTCGACCTGGAGTACACAAGTGAACAAGCCTGGATAGAGCTTGTAGCGCAGGGGATCGGCATGGCTCAGACCAGCTTTGTGTCACCTCATCATGCCTGTCGGGCCTGAATGCAGAAAGGAGCCTCTGCTACAGCTCACCCCGTATTACCAACGGATCACTTTACAACAGCCAGTAGATTTTACCTGTGGTTATGGCTGGTGAGCTGGTCTGTTTCCACGCCCATTAGGATTTTTAATATTACCTGAGAGGGGCATGCTTTGTCAGAACGTAGGGATGCTTTTTCTACAGGCTTATCTGCCATGGTAAAGGCATTGAGAGCATGAGCCTCTGACAACACTGAGGAGGTCATCGTGCAAACAAGGATCGGCTTAGCAAACACTGACCAGGTCAGGACACCACGAGAAACCCCTTGAACAAAAAAACTTTTCCTTTCAAGGAGGATAAGAACAAATTCAAGAGGAAATCTTGATTGGATTTTTTGTTGGCGGGAAAGGATTTACCACGTCACATAAATCAGGTATGACAAACACGGACGGCTTAGCCTCTCTTTATTTTTCTGACTACGCCAAAAAATCTAATAAGACAAGAAGTCAAAGTGTGGATGACAGAGATGCATTATTAAACAATAGGTTAGTTTTTATTTAATTACTAAAAGGCAATGCTACACTGATGGAAAAGGAGAGTATAAATATAGTTTTCATCTTTGGTTTTACACTGGATCTATTTTTAGGAATAATTTCTCTAATCATATAACAGTTTAATCCTAATGTTCAATTTTAATATATGTTATAACAACATAAAGCTAGAGGGCTCTGTTAAACTAAATGTGCTCAGATATATTTCTTTTCTAATTAAATTCTTTCCTAATATAAATGTATTGGTATCTGAAAAACCCAACAGAGATTTTACTTCACAACACAAAACCTGACACACAGGGACGATGTAAAACTGCTAGGGATTGCTCTTACATTTTACGAGTCAGAGTCAGGCATAGGGAATCAATACACAAACCTCCAGACTTGGAAAATGTCTCATCAAAAAGAATAAAGCAAAAAAATCTTTATGCAATGCATGATAGTTTTTTTTTTTTTGACTTAACCCGCAGTCAGTGATTTGAAGCAATCTATAAAGCAAACTCTATATTTGAAAAAGTTTCTCTTCAGCCTGGATAATTCCATAACCCTGTCATACCAGTTCAAAAGCCTGGCTTTTAAATGTACACTTGTGTCTTCTTCTCAGGGGCTTGTGTGATTTGACTGCCAGACGACAAAGCTTCAAGATGTATCAACGCAAGGCTTTAATACTCTTCCTCATCAGGATGGGACTGATGCTCGGTCTTTGTAACCCCCTGGTGACCTCGGAATCATGTCCCTCAGCCTGCCGCTGTGACGGGACCTTCATCTACTGTAATGACCGTGGCCTGACTTCCATTCCCAAAGGTATACCCCAGGATGCTACAGTGCTCTTCCTGCAAAACAATCGCATTAAAAGTTCGGGGATACCAACAGAGCTTCGAAAGCTTATATATGTGGAGAAGATCTACCTTTATTGTAACAATCTGGATGAGTTCCCTAATAATCTTCCTCTTGGCTTAAAAGAGCTCCACCTACAGGAGAACAACATTCGGATGATTACCCATGCTTCTTTAGCCCAGATTCCTTACATTGAGGAGCTGCATTTGGATGATAACTCAGTATCTGCCGTCAGTATAGAGGAGGGGGCTTTCAGAGACAGCAATCACCTCAGACTTCTTTTCCTCTCAAGAAACCATCTAAGTGCTATCCCTTCAGGCCTACCTATGAGCATTGAGGAGCTGCGCTTTGATGACAACCGCATCTCCTCCATCTCAGAGCAGTCACTACAAGATCTCATCAACCTGAAGCGACTAATCCTGGATGGTAACCTTCTCAACAACCGTGGGATTGGGGAGATGGCTTTCATCAACCTGATCAATCTGACCGAGCTCTCACTAGTGAGGAACTCTCTGACATCGCCACCGGCCAATCTGCCTGGCACCAGTTTGGAGAAGCTGCACCTACAAGATAATCATATCAACCGTATACCACCAGGGGCGTTTGCCTTCCTGAGACAGTTGTACCGTCTGGACCTGTCCGGTAACAACCTGAGCAGCCTGCCACATGGTGTGTTTGAAGATCTGGACAATCTCACACAGCTCCTGCTACGCAGCAATCCCTGGCAATGCACCTGCAGGATGAAATGGGTGCGTGATTGGCTGCGGTCGCTGCCATCTAAGGTGAACGTGCGTGGTTTCATGTGCCAGGGTCCTGATAAGGTCAAAGGTATGGCAATTAAGGACCTAACTACGGACATGTTTGACTGCACAGATTCAGAGTTCGATTCCATGCATGAAACAAGCACAGTCTCCAACACTTTACGCCCGTCTCAGCCTCAGTGGCCGTCATTTGTAACTAGGAGGCCCATAGTAAAGGGAGCCGACATCAGCAAGAACTACCACAGTACTACCACGTCTTCAGGCAGAAAAATTATCACCATCAGTGTGAAGGCAAGTACTGCTGATTCGATACACATATCATGGAGGGTGTCACAACCCATGACTGCATTACGGCTGAGCTGGTTGAAGTTAGGACACAGCCCCGCCTTTGGTTCCATCACTGAAACCATTGTGCAGGGAGAGAGGACGGAGTACCTGCTCAATGCCCTGGAGCCAGAGTCTTCTTATAGGATATGCATGGTTCCCATGGAGACCAGTAACATTTACCTGTCGGATGAGACCCCTGTTTGCATTGAGACAGCGACCATTTCCCACAAGTCGTACCACCCCACAACAACTTTAAACAGAGAGCAGGAGAAAGAGCCTTACAAAAATTCCAATCTGCCTTTGGCTGCTATTATTGGAGGGGCAGTGGCTCTGTTGGCAATAATCATGTTGGCACTGGTCTGCTGGTATATTCACAGGAATGGGTCACTTTTTTCCAGGAACTGCACCTACAACAAAGGCCGGCGGAGAAAGGACGACTACGCTGAGGCTGGCACTAAGAAGGACAACTCCATCCTAGAAATAAGAGAGACATCTTTTCAAATGATACCTATAAATCACCTGCCTGTGTCCAAGGAGGAGTTTATGATACACACAATTTTCCCACCTAATGGCCTGAGTTTGTACAAAAGCCCACACACCGAAAACAGTATTAACAACAGGAGCTTCAGAGACAGTGGAATACCAGATTCGGATCATTCTCATTCATGATATTGCGCACAGACACTCATGATGCGTGCGTGACTTAGAGTGACTTAAACAAACACTGGAAGTATGAACTGAGGAGAGCAACGTTCTGTACATTTGCCATATAATTTATATTTAAGGTCATTTTATGAAGATGGAGAATGTTCCAGTTGCAGGCCATCACCGAACCATGGTTGGTATGGTAACTACCTGCAATTCTATATTTTAGAGATTTGTAGTAATTTGTACTGTATTTCCTTTGCTTAAGGTTGTCAACCTCCTAAAAGAAACTTGTGTTCTACTGAGACATGATGACTTGTCAACTGTGAAAGTGGGTTTTCATTGCTGTGTTGAACAATCAGACTTTAGAAAACCTTTTAGTATAAGCACAGGCCATTCTTTTAACTTTGTGGCTGTCTGAAAACAAAAAGGCAAAAAAATGAAGTGAGGATTTGAGGCACAGCTGAGCAGCTGATTCGCAAGCAGCCATGCTGCCCTCGGAAAAGAAGGAGCAGTCTGCAAACTGTGGACCTGGAGGCTTGTTTAAAAATTCACTCGGTAATGAGAATGAATAAGTAAAAATGAGGTGCCATGCTTTATTTCTCAGCTCTGTTAAGTGTGTTTTTTTGTGTTTGTAAGCAGAAACACAGTAAAGCAAACAAATGAGGGTTCCAGGTTTTCTGGGAGGACTGTCGGCCACAGCACAGGGCAAATAAAGCACAGCAATCTTAGGGAGTGTTGTGCTCCTCATAACAAGTAGACTGGACAGGCTGACATGGAGGACCCCCACTATCTCTATTTGTACAAGGCAACAATGGTTGAACTACAATGGCAGCATTCTCTAGTACCATGTACCATTCGTCATTCTAGTCACCAGGCCAAAAAGAAAGAACGTGTTGGATTTCATCAGATTTACCACGGTGTCAGGAGCTCCTTGTTATGAGTGTTATTTTGTATTATTTTTTCAAAGGAACACACTTTTACGTTGCCACAATTTGAAGTTAACTGTTATTTACAATTGAGAACCAAAGTGCATTGTATGCCCTTTGGCCAGTCTTGTATGTGCCTTGATCCAATGCTTATTGTATTTAGCTTTTTAAGAAACCAGTGACTTTTTTTCATACACACTTGAATATGAAAAATATTGGTCATATTACAAAATAAAAGTGGATAAAAATATCTTTGCTCTTTTTTGCCCAGAGTACAAAAGGCTCCGCTCCAAAATTGTACTTGTGTTCTAAGTACTGTGCCCAGATCTTTTCTTGTTACCAAAGAGATTTCAATTTTGGTTTGAATGTGAAACTGCCCTGGAGGGGAACCAAGGAACTGCAGGCACAACGTTTTATTCATTCATATCTTAAATTACTTGCTAGACACACAATCTAAAAATGCTCGGAGGTGCAAACACAGTCAAACACTGCATTTTTAATCTTCACACAGATGTGAACTGTGAGGTTTGAGCTTGTGGCCTTAAAACCACATCTCCCCCCTTTAAGACCCAGTTAACCCTTGAACAATAACAGAGACTTCTGAAACCCAGTTTTTCCACTCCATGGGCAGTCCGCACACCAACATCTGCTTCAGGCTGCTGTTGTTCCTAGCGCTGTGGAGCCATGTGTGACTTATCCTATTGACCATAGAGCAGAATATCACAGTAGAGTGGAACTAGGGCTGTGGAGAAATTGGACTCCTGGGTTTGATGAACCTCCCGGGTACTGGGGCAACGGAAAACTAATGACGAGCCACCATATGGAGGGTGGGACAGGCGGCCCCTGCTGGGGATGGCCGTCCCTGCAGAGGACAGAGTATATATACACTGCTCGGGGCGTAAGGCAGCACACTTAATGACATGATTTTAGTTCACTCAGGCAAGGGCTCAGGAAAAGGTACAAATGCACAAGTTGTAAAAGAGCCGGTTATTCGGCTTTCTAGCCAGTAGAAAGAGCTGTAATGCTTTTCAGATGGTAATGCGGTAGAGCAGATGCACTGTCTCAATGCAAAAGCACATAAGTACTCAGAACGTATCAGGGAAACTTGTGTGTACTCACTTACACACCCACACACTCTTTACACAGGAAAAGCATTAATTACAGCAAGGGAAGCCGCTAAAAGCTGCACAAGTGATCCAAACCTTAACTACACACTAACCCTGCCCTGGAAACTAAAAATACGTCACATTAACTTAGAATCAAAGTAAACAGCGTCTACTTTTAGAATATAAAACAGTAATAGTTTCCATGTGAACACTAAAAAAAGGAGTTAAAACGTAAGTCCTTTCTTATTTATTACGAAAGGAAAACGAAAGAAAACAGCAAACGGCACAAGACACAAAGATGAAACCATTTCTTTTTTGTTGCACTGATGTAAGAAGGCAAATGTTGACAAGGTATTTCAGAGAAGACTTTTTAAATAAACCAAGCAAATAATGTGATGTGAGGTTTATTTTAGGTTAATGAAGCCAAACAAAACGTTTTTGGCATCTTTCTCCACTGAAAGATTTTACAGTCATTTAAAGATAAGGATAGGGAGAACATGTGTGTGTGTGTGTCTATTTTTGTTCATCAGTTCATTTTGATTGAAGTATTATCTTAATTGCTCTGCACGCTTTACTTTCTTAACTGCTATTTTAGTCTTCACCCTAACAAATAATTTTTTTTCTACTTTATTCACCTTAGAAATAAAAAATGACACACCATGAGGATAGATTCTATTATTTTTTATTTTTTGTTTATGTTATTTAATATATTTATTATTATTTGCTGAGTGTTCAACAGTTTACATTTTATCAATAGGTTATAGAACACGGCACATGTATTAGACTTTAAAAATTATGAAAGGTAAATATTAATATTTGGCAAGAAAAAAAACGTTCATCTAGAATAAAATAAAAAATGTATTTATACATATATATAATTATAATAAACTGACATCTCATCTTTGATTATAAATGAGGCGTGATTTCACTGCAAATGTGAAATTGGTGTAAAAATAGAAAAATAATCAATACGTTTTTAATTGAAAGAATTACACGTCTGCTTCAAAGTCAGGTGGGGGGCTTTATACCTGTGACCTGCTGTAGGAGCAGTAAACCCTTTATAAATCTGGGTAGTTCTGTTATGTAGTAGTATGTAGTAGTTTATGTTTATGTGTGTATATATACACAGTTTTTTGATATATATATATATATACACACAGTTTTTTCGGATGTTTTTACCGTAATTCGGTAAATTATTAGATCAAATCTAATATCAGAATTTGATTTGAAATGGTATTTATTTCAACATTATTTTATCTTTCTTTTTTTCTTGGTTCATAGCTACAGTGAAACATTGCAGAGGGGCTGCAGAGCCGCGGGTTGCTGACCTTTGACCTATGCAGTGTAAACATTTTTACTGTATAGGTGACATTTCTGACATTTCTTTAACCAGAACAGCATTTTTTATTCATTATTCGTGAGCTCTGGGAATGAAACAATTTATAGGTGCAGGTTTGCAGAATTCTGGAATAGCCTGGAACAGGCCAGCTGTTTTAACACACTGTCTCACGCGGGTAATAAATTAGAGTTTAGTCAAAATGCAAAACCGAAGCATCCCATTGTTGTGAATTCACTAAAAAATAAAACATTAAACCGAGCGGCTTTGTGCAATTTGGCGATCCAAAGTGTGAGACAAAATTAATGAAGTAGTCTGCTCACGACCCCACGTGACCTCACTTATCACTGATGACTCTTGACCCATCAGTTCTTTTACACAGTTGCTCAATCACTCTCATGTTCTCATTGAAGTCGGTCAAGTCTCTAGACAAGCCAAGATGCCACGTGCATTTGTCTCCGGTGTGACACACACAGGCCCTAATTATGTTTGTCTTTTGTGGAGCCCCGAGATTAAAACTAATGGAGGCAGCTGCACTGTCTGCCCCAGGCTGCCGTTACTCCTATTGTCATGTACTGGTCACATTTGCATTCCTATAGATGCCGCTATCAAAGCACCCCTGCGTGACCTCATCGTTGTCAGTAGCCGAGGCACGGTTCTTCTCCATCAGCAACATTAGCAGGATCAAAAAAGCCCAGCCGATCTGACCCTATGACTGATTAGGGGTCAGCAGAGTCAGGTCACACTTAGTTCAAGTATCTCAAGAAATGAGAAATGGATACATGTCAGTGGCCGCAAAATAAAGACAGCCATGAGGGACTCATCAAGAAAAAGTAGCCAGAAGGCAGGGCTTGAGAAAAAAATATATTTATTTCTGGCAAAGACTGTGAAAGGAGAAGACACTTGAAAGGTCAGATGTTTAGCTAATGGTTTAATTGTGTTCAGGGCAAACAACAGAGTCGTAGCATAAGGTTAAGTCTGTGAGATGATTCACAGAGAAGCTGCTTGATTGTTTTAGTTGATTTTTTTTTTCAAATACATTTTTTATTTACTCGGTCTAAACACTATGCTGTTTTTGTCAAACTAGGATTACTGCTAAAATGTTGCCTTTTTATGGATTGGCTATTCAGTAATCCAAGGGTACATCACTGGGTGCAAAACCAGTCCAACTTTAACTAAAGTAAAAAATACACAACGAGTGAAAATTCCTTAATAATTAATCAAATAAACAATGGCTTTGTGCAATAAATCTTGAGTTTTATGACGAGACTAATTCAATACTATCTCAACAGATCACACCTGCAGTGCGGGCATCAAGTCTCAGAGTTCATTTTTGTGTGTTGGTTTCAGAATCATAGCCCTCTAGACAACGACAGCTTGCAGTCATAATGTAGGGTTTAGGGAAATGACTAACAGAATTTAAACGCAATGGGTTTTCATTCTTAATGTCTAACACAAAATTAAAGCCCATTATTTCCAAACCGCACCAGAATGTGCGGCTTTTCAGCACATAAACTTGCATGCCAAAAAACGACCGCGCATTCAAAACAAAAATAAAACCGGGGCACTTCCCTCACATCTCCTCGCACACATCTTGCACATTAAACAGGCCTGTGATTTAATGGCCTCTAAATGCTAAGTAGAGGAGGGCTGAGGTCAGATGGCAAACCCAGGCCCAGGGCCTCCCACAAAGCCTGCACTTCTGGCAGTGTGTAAATTTTGTATTTTCTGCTCGTGTACGTGTGTGTTTGTGTGTGTTTGTGTGTGATGTTGACTGTAGTATAAAACCAAAGACGATTTAAATGAGCTGATCTCATTGAAGTTATGTGTATGTGTAAAAATGTAAACAGGCCTCAGAATGTATATGAGGGTCTTCACTTTCTATCTGACGTTTTCAAAGCATGTTGGTGTAAACCTCAGACTGCTGGTTGATGTTATGATGTTATGCTCTAGCACAGCGCTCTGACCTGAGCTCAACCTCAGGTCTTTTTACAGCCAATAAGTCCAGGGAAAAAGTGAGAAATTATATTTTGGAGATTTGTTTTTGCTGTTAGCAAGTAAGTTAAACACTTTCCCCAGTGTGTTTAGTGTGGCTTATGTTTGGGACAATGTGTTCTACAGAATAATTAAATAATATATTTAATTGTTCGCTATTAATCTCACTGTGGACATCCTGCTCTTTCACACTGGCACACTGACCAGACACTAGACCAAAAAAGTAATACATTAATTTTCAAAATAAAAGTTCTATGGAACCCA